TGTAGCAGTATCGCTGATCCCTAAAAGAGAATATAGACCCTAAAAAGAAATTAAAAGGCAAAGTATGGAGAAACAATTCCATTGTGATACTTCCTAACTCTCTTTCTGGTCTAAGATTCCCCTCCCCCCCTCCAATGTAGATTTAAAAGGAATCACTTGTTCTTCAGGTTTTTCTCTCCTTCCTTTCCCAATTCCCCAGGTAGCTGCAACTCTCTGTACTTTGATAGGGAATATTTCTTAATCTTTTGTTCCAAAGTTTTAAAATGTATACACATCCCCTGTAGTTTCAGAAAACTTCTGGACTCCATGGGATTGAAGTTGGTAATGGTTGTGTCTTCCTTGTGGATTAATTTCTCTGTAATTGAGTTATGCAGATAATGAAAAATCCAACTGTATCTTTTAAGGGACAATTAAAATTTTACTTTGAAAAATGTTAGTGAACAGGTTTATTAAATTTTAGTATGTTTGGAGCATTAATGTAAATAAGAAAACATGTAGGAAGGTATTGTCATTTAAAAATCATAGAGTCATAGAATGGCTTGAATTGGAAGGGACATTAAAAATCATCTATTTCCAACCCCCTTGCCATGGACAGGGATGCTACCCACTAGATCAGTTTGCTCAAAGCCTCATCCTGCCTGACCTTGAACACTTCCAGGGATGAGGCATCCACAACTTCTCTGGTCAACCTATTCCAGTGCCTCACCTGTCCCCAGTGCAGTGCACCTGTTAGACTTTATTAGGTTCTTATGAGCCCAAGCTTTCTAGGTCCCTCTGGATGGTATCCCATCTTTATGTTGTGTCAACTGCACTGCTCAGATTTGTGTCATCTGGAAACTTGCTGAGGGTGCACTTGAACTCACTGTCTGTGTCGTTGGATTCCCAGATAGTATGCTGCCTAGTGAGCTCCTCACACAACATGACAACCTGCTCAAAAGCATGTGATCTGTCTGGGCACGCTTGCACCCCTGATACTCACCTCTGCATTCAGGTGTCAGTGGGGGCTTTCAGATTCTGGAGTTCCCTGCAGCTGAGGATCTTGGTAGCTCTTTTGGTCTTCAAGTCTATTTGGGTCTACCAAGGTGGCTGTGATCTCCCTGGGTTTCATCCCCAGCCTGGCAGCTGTGACATGTAGATGCCATTTTTGTTACAGAAGAAGGCTCCCTCCTTTTCCTAGGATTAAGTGGCTCTTCCAACATGCCCTTCCGTGAGAACTGCTGTACCATTTTCTGACTGCTGCAGCACTGACTTCTCCCACTCTCTAAGGCCGTTTAAATCTGCTGGCAGCACTCATGCCCCGTCAGCCTCTTGAGAGCTGATGGTTCCTCTTTGAGTCTCAGCTCTTCCTCACCTTTCCCTCACTGCAAGAACTCCCTACCCAGCTTGTTCTAGCACTCAGCCTCCAGAACTTAGTGGCAACAGCAGCAGCAGCCATAGTGTCACTGCTGTCTCTGTGTCCCTCACTGACCTTAGTAACTAAAGTATGTTTTAATTAGTAATTAAGGTATATTTTAGAAAACAGTTTTATTAATTCTTGGTGTATTCAATGGCAGGTGATGGAAAAAATACTCTTTTAAATGAAAGTGGTATCCTTAAAGTTCTTCGTAAGCATGAAGACTGTAGTATCATATCTGATATATTAGTCAGGTATGTAGGAGTTCATCTTTTCACCCATAAAATGTTGTTTAGTTAAGTTACGCAGAACTTCATAATTTTGTATTTCTCTTTTAACAGCCATGACTTCAAAATACACATAGTGTGGCATCCCTTACATTACAGTACTGTAGTTGTGGGATAAATAACTTCTGCTAACCTGAGAAAAATAATATTTTCCTTTTAAAAGGATAAGTGGGAGGTGTAGTGGTAGAGGAAGAAGGATTATTGAACAAGTTAATTAGAAGGAGCCCAAGGGAAGGGTTAGGAAATTAAAACCCATAGAATCAGCATGACAGCAGCTAAAAATATATTGTAACAAGATATGGTGAGGATGGGGAGCGGCAGGGAAACAGATAAAGAATTTGATTAAACAGCAAGAAATTTTTCAGGTGTTTTGATTGCTGCATTTCTTGTGACCCAGCCTCAGTAAAATAACAGAGTAATAATTACACTTTGCAGATTTATACTAATCTTTAGAATAGAGATTGCTGAAAAGTTAAATATGTAAGGTTAACATTTGCTACATCAGAAGAAAATATGTCATGGGAAAGCAAACATATACGAGTGGTACGTAACACAGGTTTTTCCTTTGTGTAGAAAGTACTTAGTTACAATTTTGTGAGGAATGAAAATTCAAGAAAGGAAAAGTGGAAAAATAATCGTAATAAATATTATGGTGACATTTATTTTCAGTAATAAATGATTGAGAAGTGATGGTGTGTTGCTGTATATGGTAGTAGAAAGGTAGGATTAATATGATGCAGACTTCAGAGCTAGTTTTTATTTTAAAGGTTTATTTAGCTTTCTAAATAGTATCTGTTCTAATCTTTGATCTGTTCTAATGCTACTTTTCTTGAAGAAGGAAAATAAACTATAATAATGATTTTTATTTTATTAAATGTAAAATGAGAGTGAAAAGCATCCCTCAGTTTTGGATGTACATGTGCCAGAGCAATTGTCTAACGTATTACAGCAGACATGCTGCCTTTATAATTGTTCTCAGTGCCTGAATTTCTAGAAGTTAGGGGAATCCCTACGTACTCACACATGCATAAGTATGTAAAAGCAATTTATACTAGTATAAAAAAAGTGTATTGAATAATTACACCTGTGTGTTTTTCAAGACAATATAACATAGAACATATTATATAAACTAAAAGGACACTGAAGAGATGAACTATGTGATTTGCTTCTGCATCAAGTTCTGTGTTTTTTTCCCTAAGGCGAGCTTTGTTGGTTGCTTTCTTTTAACTGGATCAACTGTATTAGTTTAATATCCAAATAATGACATTTATTAAAAAGAGTGGATAGAATTTTCAAGAGCTTTATACCTCACTAACATGAATTTTTAGAAGTGCTGACAGTAATGTATTAAACATCCCATTGTCAGTGATTAGTAAAATACTTGTCCTTCACATAGCTCATTGTAGTTTTCTGTTTCAGTGTTCAGAATTATTACCTAATATTGGGCCAACATTCAGATTTAATAGCTCCATTTCCTGTCAGTTGAATTACACACTCTATTCGCCAACTACAGTGTGGATTCCTTGCATACAAAAGCTAACGAATCAATACCTGTATTAAAGGGATTAGAAAGCAGAAATTTCAAAAAAGCTGTGGGCTGTGATACATCTGGTGAAGTCCCTGTGTTTTGTTTCTTTAAATAAATGAAACATTTAAACTTTTAATTTCCCCAGCTTCTTTTTTCCTTAGAGGAAGCATTGGTAGGTAGTGACTTCCTAGGGCAGAAAGCGTCACAGGACGAAAGCACAGAAAAATTGTATTCCTTTCTGATTCTACCACACGTTCCTCTTGCAGAGCATGTACCCTTAGTGTGTGTTGGCTTCTCCATTTGTGAAATTAAAGAGATTTAGCAAAGATTTTGATTATTTTCTTCATTCTTTGTCTCCTAAATGGAAATTATTTTATTTTAAACAGCCAGTTCATTAACCAGCATAATGGGTTGTTGTCCTTGTTACAGCTTAAATAACCTGTAAAGTATTTAGTTTTGTGGAACTTTCCTTTTTGCAGAGAGTATTGAGTACAGGCTTGTTTAGTGAACCATGATACAGATTGTTTTGAACATAATTTTTTTCCCCTTAAGATAGGGAGCAGTTCTTCTTCCGATATTTGAATTAACTGTCGACAGCACAAAACATTACAGTGTTCGTGTCACTGAGACTATAGGTAGATGAAGAATACTGTGAAATATATTTATATTCAATAGGGATTGCACTGCACATTTCAGGTGGTGCAGTTAAGCTCCTAAAGGTTTAGAAAGAAGCAGTGATTAGTCCTTTTAATTGTAAAGCCACAGCCAAGCTGGGTTTTTGTGTACCTTAAGAGAAAATTCATCAAAATTAGTATGCAAACATTTCTACAAGTTCTGTGTGATGTTTTTCAATAAGAACATCCTCACTGTTTGTATTAGTTCTGTATGATTTGATTATTAGGTAAAATGCATTACAAAACCTTCTTAGGCCTTAATCTGAATATGAAAATACTTATGAAATATTTATCAATACTTAGTGCTTTTAAGCAGAGAGCCTATTATGTCCCAAGTGAGGTTAGTAAAACTGGGCCTGGAAAACACTTCTTTCCCTTCTTTTTCCCCTACTTCTGTTCTAGGCAGATGAGAGCATCAGAAAGTTGTATTTTAACCTTTTTCCAGTTAACACTAAAGATGTTAATCCTCTTGTTCTTGTAGGCCACTAGTAGACCATTCTGTAGGTGGTAGCTCAGTTCCTTAATTCATTGCCTCAGAGTTGCAAGGCTTAGCAAATTTTAAGTTTTACCTGCATGTAAATGTGTGAGAACCTGGTATGAGTTAAGGGATTCATGTGGGAACTTGACATAATTGTAACCACAACTCCTTGTTTTGTCATCTCTGATATTTATAAAGTAATTGCTTACAATGCTTTTCAGCAAAATGTGTGTTTTAATATAGAGGTTTCGCAATTGAATTTTTAGGCTGTTTTTAGGTTTGCTATATATCCGAGAGCAATGGATGTGTTTTTTGTAGTTGTATTCTTCTGCAGCAACTTCTGATAGTGCTGTATTTACATTAAGTTCTTACTGGCCATTAGTGTAGCTGATTTGTCATGGCACATTTGGATAACAAGTTGTATATGACTGATTAATTAGTTCAAGGTCTTACAAACATGGCTTCGGCTCCCAGCTGTTTTACACACAATTAAAAAATCAATACCATTTCAGGTAAACTGCTGCTTTCCTGAGATAACTTTTGGATTATCTTATGTCAGGAAAGGGACAGGGCATAGTCTGAATGCATTATTCCAAGTAAAACTTTTAACATGTTTCATGTAACTTCTTGTTTGTTATAGCCCCACTACATACATTTTGGATGAAGATGAGCCTCGCTTCCTTGAAGAAGTTGATTACAGTGCAGAGAGCAATGATGATCAAGATGTTGAATTAGCTGATAATGTGGGTGATTATGAGGCAACTAATCAAGATGATGGACTTTCAGACTCAGATTCAACAAGGATACTCCTTTCTTGAACCAGCTTTGCCTCCAGTAATAGGAAATTAAGTATCCTGGGTTTCCACAGTCATACACTTCCTTGCTGTTTTCTACAAAGGGGATAAAGCTTCAGTTAATGCAAATAACTGGGGCCTGCCTAGCTCAAGGATAATAAATATTTCTGACAAATTTGCATATGTTTTATTTAAGGAGTTCTGTGTTTTCTTTTAGCACTGAATAGATAAATTTATTTACTAGTTCATTTTTTTACTAAAGAGTACCGCATGGCATTTTGTGTCCTTAAACCCTATCTTAAGAAAAATGGATTATAATTTGTGTTGTGTCAGAGTACAGAAAGTAATTTTTTGTGGTATGGTTCTTTGAGTTGCTTCCTAAAAAATTACATATGTACAGATTTTATAAATTAATTTGTGTACGTGTGTGTATATGCGCGTGTGTATACTGAAGTGAAGAGGTTATTTTTCAGCATTATTTCAAAGATACTTGATTGTGTTTGAAGCAATGTAGTGCCTGCTCTGAAACCATTCAATAATTACTAAATTAAAAATGAGAACTTGGTGTATGAATTTTTGCACTTGTTTCTCGCTTCTGATGATTATATGGTTTTGCCACAGTATTAGGTGAAAATATTTAATATCTTTTCAGAGTTCTGGAATTTTGCACAGTGACCAATGCAGCCTGTGCTTAGAAGAGCTAGACTCTTGTATAAAACTCTCCCATAGAATAGGCATGGTTTAATTTGAAGAAGTTTTCTTGTTAAGTGTACATGACTACAAGAAGAGGTTAGGTATGTACACTATCTATGTTCAGCTACCCAGCTGCTCAGTTTTTCTAGTTGAATATGCACGTAGTTAAAAAGTATTCACTTTTACTGGGATCTCATAAATATATACCCAGTTCCACTGGTTTAATAGGGAAGGTGCATTTTGGTTTAAACCTTTTTTCCTGATCACAGTCTAGTGTTAACTCTGCTCTGAGAAGATTGGACTTCCTGAGGTCTCTTCCAGCCAGAAAAATTATTCTGTGATTCTATATTCTTCATGTTTAAAGTCAAGCTGTCAAATACAGAGTTTATACTTCTTCATCTTCTCCTATCATCTGCTAATTCTTAATGCCTCTTGCCTCTGCTTAAGATGAGATCTAATAGAGAAATGAAGTTGTACTCTGTTGTTTACAGAATTGACATGTTTTGCAATGAAAAATACTCTTCCAAAATTATTTTTACTTGATGTGACCCAGTTGTGGCATTCATTTTCTGCTGCATGTGCAAGGATTTTAAGAGCATGAAGAATAGCACTTCTAAGTTATAGCAGGTTTTTAACTGGTGAGAACTTTGTGTATGTTTACTCTTGCAAATAAAACTGTATTTTAGATGGGAAGGTTGCTTTCTATAGAAGGATCAGAAAAGGATAAAATTTAAGAGAATTAACTGTATCAATGATTTTGAGCCAGGAGACATATTTTCATCAGGATCTGCTGTTTCAAATGCAGCGTTGTTTGGTAATACCTGTCCATACCATCTTTATTCTGAAACTGGGGAAGTGTTCTAGATCCCTTGTAATACACTACTGTGTTTCTGTTTAAAGGCTTAAATTTATATTAGTATACATGCAATATTGAGATGTACAGATGGAAAAGATGAAAACATTTACATTCTTGTCCTTTTATAAGTTTTTCTCTCTAGTGAAAATTATCTTTCCTTGTGTTCTGTGAACTACATACTGTGAATAAGAACATTTATTAAATGCCCTATTGAAGAGGAGCTTTCTGCAGTGAAAGTAGAGGAATTTGAATTATCTGTAAGTCTGTCCAAAGACAGCAGTTCAGAATGCTCATATTGCCCTGTCAGTCTTATACTAGTTATCTACATAAATAGGTTTTCATCCTTAAGGGGTCTTACTTCAGTAGGAATAGTATTCAAAAATAAAATTATTCAGAAATAATTTGACTTAAATTTCAGGGAGTGCAGGATGCCCATTTTAGTTAACCCCTTCTTCTGTGTTTTCATTTGAATTTCTGTTAATCCTGGAATGCTATACTACAGGCAAGACTAGAAATATACTTCATCCATGTAGAAAGAATTGTGGCTTGGTAGTACAAAATCATCTTTTCCTCCTCAGTAAATATGCATATATGTTCTTCTAATGTTTTCTACAGCTTTTAGTCTGTGCAAAGAAAGAGTTATGAATGGCTTATATAATGGCTCAGGATAATGTGTTTATACATTAGGTTCTGATGCACTTATGCATTAGAATTCACTTATACATTAGATGTCAGTCTGGCAGCTGCTGGTCTGAGCTTCTACCAGTGCAGTTCCAATGCAAGAGGTGAAACTATCTTACATATTGTTGAAAATGCAAAGGTTGTTACCTCTTACATGTTTTGTGGCACTTGCCTTTCCAAAGATATAGTCTCCACTTGTGCTCACAGGGATGCCAGTCCACAGGAAGAAGTGCTGCTGTGATAACGGCTTCACGCAGTTTATCCCTTCTCTGCTACGTGTTGCCATTGTTGCGGCAGTGTTGGCAGACACGTGCCTGTGCCCCCATTTATGTGTTTTGGTGGGAAATCTGGTATTTAGCTGAAAATGGAATAGCTAACACTTTGAGCACACATTCCATTCTGCTGCTGTGGCATTTACCCCAAATAAATGGGCAGAATTATAGCAAAGAATGGCAGCGTCTTGGACTGTCACAAATCAGTCATCTAGCATGGTTTGTCCCAGCCAATTGACTGTATTTATTCTATGCATTGGCATTTCAACATGTTTCTGTTTTTAAATTATACTGTTTACTGTAGGCATGACTGGTTCTGTATAGGCAAAGAACATATCCGTATATCTTCCTCCAGTAATAACAACAAATAAGATTATAAACAATAATTACATCTGTGTTATTTACTGTCTTGTTTCTAAATAATTGCTGGATGGTGAATTACTCTATTCCTTTTCCAGGTATAATTCAAGTTGCAGCACAAATTTTGGTATTGTGTCTTCACTGGTGACATCCCCTCGTGTATTGTAGCTTACAGCAGTCTGTGCCAAAAATCTTGCCTGGTCATTTTTCAAGGTGGATTGTTTTATCAGCCTGACTTACCAGGGAGTATTGGTTTGAATCCCAAATAAGACTGCAGAAGCAGTAAACACTGTTCACAAAATGCAAAAATGCAAGGTTTCAGATAGTTTCTATTGTAATGCTGTGAGAGGTATAATTGTTGCAGTGTTGTTATGCATGCCCCCCCCAAATACTTATTAATAAAAATGCTTAATAAAGAATTAATTACAATCTTTTGCTTCCCTATTATTGGTTAGTAATGACTAAAGGATTTCTCATCATAGCATTTACAGTAGTGTACCTACCTATAAGGATGGGAGTGTGCCTAGCATTTTAAAAAGGAGAATATTTTTATTCTCTGTCAAAATAAAGTCAGTGTGCTGCAGGCTTAGAGTAGCATTTGCATATTAATTGACTGAATTTTAACTGTCTTAAAAGTTTAATATTCATCAATGTTTGTAAAACTTATGAAGGCTTTGGATGAAACACAATGAAGGTCATTGCAGAGCACTCAGAAAAGCCTGGTAGTGAGAGTCTTTCCCTCCTACACAGCTAGTAGAATATTAATCTTATCTAGGAAAAGCATAAATATATTCTCACTAAGTCACCCCTTTACAATTCAACTCATACTGCAGTTGAGGACTAAGTTATTTTTACTATTTATATTTTTGCAGTAGCAATTTTAAAATTTTAGCAATTTTTTGAGGGAAAACTTAAGGTAGATCTAATTCTATGCTGTTTGGAAAGAGCAAGTGATTACTAGGAATCATCAGTGTAACATTTGAAAATACATTTGCAGTTTATTTAACTATATCTGTGATGTTACTTCAAGATGAACAACTTCCTTCACAAGCTCTGTTGTCCAAACTTCTATAGTGTAAAAGAGTCACAGTGACTCTTACATTCGTCTAAGGATATCTTTCTTTGATCTCATTAGTTTCTAATGTCATCTGGATACAAAGTACTTGAGATGTGACTTTGCCTCTTTTTTGCTTAAGTAAGCTAGATTGCTTTGAAAGATGGGCTTTAAATACAAAATGCCAAACAGTATCATATAAAGAAGTTATTTAGTCCCTGTAAAATACTTCATAACTATGAAACACACCCCGTTATTTCTTCTGTTATTAGAAAAAGTTGGATGCTATATTTTTTTGCCTTTTTTTTTTAAACAGATCTTTTAACGCTGACATCTGTTCTAATATCTCAATCTAAGAAAACAATTATTTTCTAAGAAAACTGGACAAAACTTCTGACTTATTTTAAAAAAAGCACAACACACTTATGACAGCTTTTGAAGCAGTTCAGAAGGAGTCATTGCTGAAAAATATGGGTTTATCAACAAAGAAAACAGCACACCATAGGATTTGCTGATCCAAATTATGTGGTTACCAAATGCCAACCAGCTGCTCCCTTTGATTGTCTCTGTGAAATTCTTGCCACAAGATGTTTGTGCTTAGTGTTTGCCCTTCTTTCTGGCAAGGGGTTATTTAGCATGCACCATTTTCTGTGGTAGATTGTATATATAGTAGCAGCACCACATAGCACTACTGTAAATTTTCACTGGACTGAATGCTAACTAATAAAAGAACCTGACTAATAAAATTCCACAATAATACTTCCATACATGAAATGCTGCTGTTAACATAGAGAGGGGAGATTGACTTATAACAACCTGAAACAGGACTCTTCTACACACTGTCCCTCCAGATTTACCAGGGTAAGATAATAAATGTACTAAAGGATCTGAACAGTTTTATACAGGTGTGGTAGTTTGACACTGGGTGGATGCTAGGCACTCACTACAGCTGCTCTCTCAACTGGAGAGAGGAGAGAAAAAAAATAATGAAGGATTCATGAGTTAAGTGCTGGGAGAGGTCTCTATCATGGGCAAAACAGACTTGCAATGAGGATATTAATTGAATTTATTACAAACAGGATCAGGGCAAAAGTGTGAGAAGTAAAATAATCTTAAAAATACCTTCTTCCCACCCCTCCTTCCAAACTCTACGTCCTCCCCCTCCAGTGGTGCAGGGGGATGGGGAATGGGCGTTACAGTCAGCTGTTGTTTCAGCCGCTGCTCAGGGAGAGGAGTCTTTCCCCTGCTCCTGTGGGGTCAGGAGAGAGTCCTTGATGGACCTCTCTGGCGTGGGACCATCCCTCAGCTCTTCCCAAACTGCTGTCCCGTGGGTCAACCCTCCATGGGGTACAGTCCTTCACAAATAAGCGGTACTGGTGTGGGTCCCCCACAGGGCCACGAATCCTACCCAGGAAAAACCTTCTCCAGCATGGGCTTCCCTCTCCACGGGTCACAGGTCTCCGGCAGGATCCTGCACCATCTTGGGCCTCCCATGGGGCCACAGCCTCCTTCATGCATCCACCTGCTCCAGCATGGGCTCCTCCATGGGCTGCAGGGGGGTCTCTGCACCCCTTTGGTCATAGAATTATGTTATCACAGAGGTGTTACTGTTGCTTCTGATTGACTCAGCCGTGCCCAGCAGCAGGAAGACCCTCCTGGGG